GCCCCGCCCCCTGCACACCTGGCCCTGCCCCGCCGTCGATTCATTCTCACGGGGTCCCTCGGGCGGCAGGACCGACCGGTGTGTCCACGCCGCCGTGCACGAAGTCGCTGGGGGGGCACACCCCGACGACACGCTCACGACGGGAGCTCAGACGCACACTTCCCCGGCTTGTGTCCTGGGAAGCGAGGTCGCAGGGCCACAGTCCGTCTTCCCCAGGCATTTCTGTGTCAGCGAGATACATTGTGTCTGCCCGAGGCCACGGGGCCACCAACCTCCGGCCCTAGAACCGTGGCCCACTTGCCTTCTAGACCTCAAAGCGTAGGACCAGCGGCAGCAGATTTGGACGGCATTGATGGATTCAGGAGACCTACTGTGTGCGGCACCTGTACGCTAGCCTCACTCCATCTCGCCAGGACCCGACAGAGAGTGCAACGCAGTCAAAGAAACCAAGGCTGACGGGATCTCCAATCCAAGACCATGTCATGAGTGTGCCTACTGAAATTTGAGCCAGGAGCCTGTCCCCGGAGGAATGCTTGGGTTCGCCTCACAGTCACCTGACCACACACACACTTATGATCATGGGCCTGTGACTGAATTCACACGCTGGGCCAAGTGGCACCCTTAAACGCTTGCGCACGTACACACACAAGTTCACCCTCGACTTGGAATTCTGAGGCCTACTTCTGCTGTATGTGTGCTAGGTGCTGTCGCCCTGCCACGTGGAGGGCACTGTCCCAGTGCCCCCCCCCCCCCGCAAACGAGGTCAAGGATTTAAGGTGTGATGTACATATGCAAATACAGGCTCCTGCTCTTCGGAACTGGGTCCCCCGTGTTGATGAAGTGTCTGCAGGTGCCAAGCCCCCTGCCACTTACATGGGACATACAGGAATGAATCTGACAGTTTCAAAATCCAGAGCTCAAGTGATCCTTCTGCCTCAGCCTCCTGAGTAGCTGAAACTACAGGTACACACCACTCCAAGCCCAGAGAAATGTCTTTATCTTTATAAAGATGAGGTTCTTGCTATGTTGCCCAGGCTGGTCTCAAACTCCTGGCCTCAAGCAATCCTCCTGCCTCAGCCTCTCAAAGGTGCTGGGATTACAGGCATGAGCCACCACATCCAGCCACAGGCCGCATTATCCATTTTAGGACCTCAAGGTGCTTGAGTTTTATCTTTAAAACAACAGGAGCAAAGCTGGGCAAGGTGGCTCATGCCTGTAATCCCAGCACTAGGACCTCAAGGTGCTTGAGTTTTATCTTTAAAACAACAGGAGCAAAGCTGGGCAAGGTGGCTCATGCCTGTAATCCCAGCACTTTGGGAGGCTGAGGCGAGAGGACTGCCTGAGCTCGTGGGTTCGAGACCAGCCTGAGCAACCTGGCGAGACCTTGTCTCTACAATAAATCAAAAATTCAGCCGGGCATGGTGGCACATGCCTGTGGTTCCAGCTACTTGGAAGATTGAGATGGAAGGATCCCCTGAGCCCAGCAGGTCAAGGCTGCAGTGGCTGTGAGGGTGTCACTGCCCTTCAGCCTGGGTGACTCCAATGGAAAAAAAAAACCCAAGGGAAGAGCTTTGAACAGTCAAAGCTAGGGTCCCCTTCAGATCCTGGGGGAAAGGATGGAAGCCACAGCCACCTCCAGCTTCTCAGCCTGACCCTTGAGGGGGGAGAGTCAATTGGGACTGCTGTCCCCCCTGCAAAGAGATATGAAGTAGTAATCCCCAGTACCTCAGAATATGACCTTATTTGGAAATAAGGTCATTGTAGATATTAGCAGTTAGGATGAGGTCACACTGGGGTAGCATGGGCCCCTAATTCAATATGACTGGTGTCCTTAAAAGATGGCCGTATGTCTGCAGATTCTGTGGAGGTGGTTTAAAAAAAAAAGACAGCTACACAACGACAGGTACGACAGGGAGAATGCTATGTGACCACAGGGCAGAGACAAGTGCTGCAGTGACAAAGACAAGGCGAGGGGCACCAGGGCCTGCAGGCAACTACCAGGAGCTGGGGGAGGCAAGAAGGAATCCTGAGACCTGCAGGTTTCAGGGGGAGCATGACTCTGATGACACCCAATTTCAAGCTCTGGCCTCCCTAACTTTGACATGATAAATTGGTGTTGCTTTAAGTCATTAAGTTTGTGGTGCTTTCTCCCAGCAGTCCTGGGAAGTGGGTACCCCCCACCGAGGAGCAGGGCATCTCGCTGGCATGGAGGACTGGGAGAGGGTGTAAACTTGGTCCTTCATGGGGTGGGGGGAACCTCAGGCAGGGGCCATGAGAGTGCAGGCCACTTATTCTGAAAAGAAACTTCTACTGGATGTGAGAACCGCATCTTGGGGAGGGGACAGGGATCCCCCAGGGCATCCCCTCTTAAGGTCCTGAAGGATGTCACAGTGGCTCAGAGGAGGGGCAGGGACTTCTGCTTCTCCTCACCTCCTATTCCCACTTGAGGCTGGGGTGATGGACCAAAGACAGCTCAACTTGGCATGTGGGTGACTCGTGGACAGGAGAGCCCAGACTTTCTTATCTAGGGAGTGGGAGCAGATGGGTATAATATGGGATTTGGGGCTGGGGGGAGAACCACGCCCCAAGGCCCTCTCTGGCACAGGAAAGTGGTCAGGAACACTGGCTTGAGGGAAGGGTGGCCAGGAGGCCCCTTGACGAGCTGCCAAGGGGATAGAGTTGGGGTCTGAATGTGCAGAGGAAGGGAAGGAGTCCTGGGCTCCAGCTTCCTCTTCCCCTACTCCCTGCAGATGGCAACTGCCTTTCCAGCCGGTCAAGGCCACAGGCACTGGTGGAGGGACCTGCATGGGTAGGTAGGGTCATCCTGCACTGGTTTCTATAGCAGCTCAAGCTGCTTGATGGCCTGTCTTTGCCAACTGTGGGGACACGGCTCAGGCCTTCGCCTTCTGTGATGCCCCACCTGAGAGTCCTTGGGGACCGGTCATTGCTGCCAGGCCCAGCAAGGTCCAAACCCAGGTCACCCTGCCCCCTACCCTCTACGCCAGATCCAGCATCGTTGTGGGCGAACAATTATCTGGATCATCTTTATGGGGCTTAAGCTTGGGTGGGAGCAGATGGGACATGAGCTGGGGATTTGGGGCTGGGGGGGCAGCCACACCCCCATGTCCCGGTCATTTAAAAGGCCCTCTCTGGAGCAGGGTTGAGGCCGGCAGTAAAGTGGACAGAGGCCAGGAACAATGACGGACCAGGAGGAGAAAGAAGAGGAGCAGGGCGTCAAGGTGAGAGGACCCCACCCCCGCCCCCAGCTCAAGGTCTCAGGGCCCATGATTGACAAGACTAATTAGTTTGTAGGGCACCTCATTAGCGAGCGAGTCTCCTAGGACCCCTGACCCAGTTGCTGCTGTCAGAAAGTGCTGGTGGGCTTGAGGGTCTGAGTGCCAGGCCCAGCCCGGGCAGCAGGCAGGGCTGTTGGTGCCGACCCCACGAGGTGGGATGATGGGACCTGGGGGCGGCTCCTGGACTGTTTCCCTGGTGCGTTTTCCAACTCCCAGGCCACCCTCCAGTCAGGCCCCAATCTAGGACGGCGGGACGCAGGCACCGCAGCCTGTCCCTTGAGACAGCACCACGTGAAATGGCACTGCCAGCTGGGGCCCGTGGGGCGGGGGCATGGGCCGGGACTGGGAAGGAGACTCATGTCTCATTCAGAGCAGCTCTGCAGAGCAGCAGATCAGCGGGACCATGGTGAGAGTGGAGGGAGATGGGAGGGTGGGTCCAGGGGTCTGGGAGCCAGCAGACTGGGGGGGGCAGCAGAAGGGGCCTGGAGCCCAAGGGCCAACCAGACCAGGTGGGTCTGTCCCCAGGCGGGATCCCCAGACCAGGAGGGCTTCTTCAACCTCCTGAGCCACGTGCAGGGTGACCGGATGGAGGGACAGCGCTGCTCACTGCAGGCTGAGCCAGGCCAGACCGCCAAGAACGGTGAGTGAGGGCGTGGGAGTGCTGTCCAGGGAATGTAATGGGGCAGAGGTGCAGGGTGCGTGGCCATCTGAGGGCACCTGTGAGTCTGGGGGCACAGGACGGGAGAGAAGACTGTGCATCCTGGAACCCGAGTGGGGGTGAAGGGGTGGGGTGGGGGGGCCCCAGTTGGGCTGAACCCTGCAGAGTCTGCTATGGTCCACATAGAGAGCGACCCTGCACCCGAGATGGACAGCTTCATGGACATGGTGGCTAACACCCAGGGCCGCCGCATGGATGACCAGCGTGTGACAATCAGCAACCTGCCTGGCTTCCAGCCCGTGGGCTACAAGGTAGGTGACATTCTGCCAGTGTCGGGGAGAGACCCACCTGGTCGTGAGCTCTGACCTTGTCCCCACCCCAGCAAGGAGTGGATGGGGCCAACACCCTTCTCTGTCCACCGACCACCCTGACTTCCGATGCAAGGACCAAGACCCATACAGGACCAAGAGGGCCCCAAGGTCATACAGGGGCTACACTAGTGTCAGCTGTGGCTGGAGCCTGTGCCTCTTCCCCCCAAGTCTGAAGGTTTTGGGGAGACCAAAGGGAGAGAACAAGCCCCCTTTCTGGGAAGACATGCCCAGTGGGGAGAGCATGTGAGCTCCTATGAAGGATGAACACAAGCGCACATTCATGTGTGTCAACGTCACACATACTCATGTGCAGCTTGGGTTCTGATCAAGACCCGAGCTAGAGCCCCAACACCCACCACCTCATACTCAAATACCACCCTAAATGGCAGGTGACACGAAAGTAAACACAGATGGATGCCTGGGAACAAGGGGCACATGGGTTCCTGCCTGTACCCTCTCTCCAGTCTTTGTCACCTCTGGCCTGCAAAGCCTTCAGTCCCTCCCTCTGGCTGACCCCCCCTTCATCTACAGGACGGAGTTCAGAAACGATCTGGGACCCTCAGCCCCCAACCCCTGCTCACCCCTCAGGACCCGACTGCTCTGGGCTTCCGTCGGAACAGCAGTCCTCAGCCCCAGACACAAGCCCCCTGAGGGTCTGAGTCATCCTGGGTCCCACTGGGCCCCCGAAAACAGACAATAAAACACTTCCATAAGCAAAAAGAAACTGAGTATTTGTTATTTCACAGAAGTAGGGGAAATGTGCGTTACTTCACAGGAGGAGGGGCTGAGATTCAAGCTCCCGGAGGCCTCAGGAGTTCTGCTGGGCAGCACGGAGAAGCCTCTCCTCCCGCTGTTTCCGTATCCTCTCTTTGAATTCTTCTAGCTCTTGACGCTGGGGGTGGGGAAGTGGGTGGGATGGGAAGGAAGGGGAACACAACTCAGGGCCTGAACTCCTCTCCTACAACCCTGCCCCTACTCCCCAGACCATGGCTTGAGAGTTCAGTGTCTGTACTAGAAGCCCCATGCCAATGACAACCAGGATCCAAATGGGATAAGCTTCTTTCTTCAGGGAGAAGGCAATAAGAAAACCACACATGGCCGGGCTTGATGGCTCAGCCTATAATCCCAGCACTTTGGGAGGCCAAGGCGAGTGGCTGGCCTGAGCCCGCGGGTTTGAGACCAGCCAGGGCAACTTGGTGAGACCTTGTCTCTACAATAAACAAACAAACCAACAAACAAAAAAAGCCGGGCGTGGTAGCACATGCCTGTAGTTCTGGCAACTTGGGAGGCTGAGGTGGAAGGCTCTCCGGAGCCCAGCAGGTCAACGCTGGAGTAGCCGTGAGTGTGCTACTGTACTCCAGCCTGGGTGACAGACTGAGACTCCAACTCAAAAAAAGAAAACCACACACGTCTCTGGTCTCAGTTCCCTACCCATGGCTGAAGGTAAAATTTTCATTTGAAACCCATCAAGGTCACATAGATCCAGCCTCCTCCATCTTTCTGGGGGAAGAAGAGCAGATCCCTTACCTGGCCTTCCTTCTCAGGTGGCCACAACTCCCTCTGTGGAGACAAAGTCACAGCTGGGAGTATGAGTTAGGAGCTTCCAGATCCCCACATCCAGGGCAGGGTTGGGAGGCAGACATTGGTCCCCAGCAGGTTGGTGTCCAATATCCTCCCCCACTCCTGGAATGAACCCATGAACACTCTTCTTGTGCCCACCTTACGCTGTATGACATAGTCTTCAAACCACTCAGCCTGATTGGAAATCCAGAACATAGCCACAGGGAAAGTGAGGTAAAGTGTCATCTGGAAGGCAGAGGGCGGAGGAGCAGTCAGCGATTACCCCTACCCCAGCTACCTGCAGAGGTTGCTCAGAGCCTGAAAGACCCATCCTCCTTCAAAGCCCGGAAGTGCCTCCCCGGGACCTCTCCAAGAATGCCAGAACTCCCACCAAGGGTGCAGAAACCTCACACCTTAAAGCCCAGGCCCCTAACCCAGGAGACTTATTCCTGAGAGCTGGGAGTCGCCCTCTCAAAGAAAGACACAACACACGCGCGCACACACACCGGCCCCAGCTACAATCAAAGGCACCTCCTCGAGACGTCATTACCCCCAGCCAATCAGATCCCGGGAGCACCCCAAAGTCCAGGAGGCCTCACTCTTCCAATCTACACCCCTAAGTCTAGGAGGATCCCTGCCAGAGACACGCACCCACCCACCACAAGTCCAAGATCTGAAACCTTACTTCTTAGAGACCCCTCCTCAGCTCACCCCTCGCGGAGGCCTGTCCTCAGACCAGTCCTCTCTGAGTCCCCAAACACAGAAGTCCCACTCGAGATCCTCCCAACCTAGCGCCCCCTCCTCCAGGTTTCCAAGGAGAGATCCCTCTCAGATCCCAAGAGTTTCCCCCCAGGAACGTCCCTTCTTTGGACTCTCCCCGTTTTCACAGCCCCATCCTCAGATCCAAGAAGATCCCCCGCCCAGCCTCCCAATCCACTCCGTTGTCCACTGACCCGAAACACCTCCAGCTTCACCCCCATCTCGCTTCTGGTCTACAAAGCCACTTCCGCCCAAAGTTGACTCTCCAATAAGACAGAAGCTCGTTGGTGTTTCGCAGTCCTCGCCGCTGAAGTTGATTGGCTGAGAGATTTCAGGATGACGTCATCCTCAGGCGCCGCTTTCTGCTTCCGGTCGTAAGCCCCTCCAACAGAAATCAGTAACGCGGGCTGCGCAGTTTGGAAGTGTCGAGCCAATAGAAAACGGCTCTGGCCGAAGGGGCGGGCCTTTAGCGAGAGACGTCATAAGCACGCGACTCTCGCCCGAACCTGGAGATCCAGGAAAATGGTGGTGATGGCGCGACATTCGCGGCCCGAGCGGCCGGACCTTGTCTTCGTAAGTCCACGGCGCGCCCTGGGGAGGCCTGCGTGGGGAAAATGGTACCTGTAAGCCTCAGGGGATCGGGACTTGGTCGCCTGGGGAATTCAGGCCTAAACTGTGCCAGGCCAAGGGCTGGGGAACCCTAACGGGCCAGAGTCCGGATCGTGATGTCCGCACCGGGTTGGCCAGTACCAGATGTGGCAAATAGCTGCTGTCTAGGTTAAGTGCATAGCGTCCCAAGCCGGGAGCGGTTATGGGGGCCTGCAGGGAATGGGAAAGTGGGGAGGTCGCATAACTCAATCTTGAGAGGTAAAGACCTAGTGCCTGAAGTAAAGTCATGGTGACCAGGCCAGGGGCCTGGTTGTGGGGGGTAAAGACTTGGTCTTCTGGGAGCAATCTAAGCCTGATCTGGAGCCTTATCGTTTCTGGGGTGAAGGTTTGGTGTCCCGCCTAGGAGGGCCCTTGTGATGTGGAACTTGTCAGGGATGGCCAATGGGGTCTTGAAGAGCCAAAGACTCGGTGTGTCGAGTAGAGGCATGGTATCTTCACCAGATTCTTGATGCCCAGGGTTAAAGACTTGGTGTCTGGTCCATAACTCTTCTGCTGAGATAAAGGCCTAACTTCCAAGTTCTGAGACAGAGTTGAGCTGGACTCTAGCTATTGGGATCCTGAGGGGTCAGAGGCTTGGTGTTTGGACCTGAGAGCCCTGGTGGCTGAGGTAAAAACCTGGTCATCTGGGCCTGGGGCAGGGATGGGTCAGGTGGTGGCAGTGGGAGCCTGAAGCCTGAGGGACCAAAAGCCTGGTGTCTGATAAGTGGCATGTTTTGAAGTAACAAGGTCTGGTGTCCAGGGCAGAGGTCTGGCATGTGAAGTCTGGTGATCTGGGCCAGAGATTGGATGGTAGGATTTGGAGGGCTAAAGTCTAATGTTTGGGTGACAGACTCATGTCTGGCCTGGAACCTACTGACTGAGAAGTCTGATTATCTGGGTCCAATTGTGGCCCATCGAATTCTGTTGTTGTTTTTTTTTTTTGAGTTGGAGTTTCACTCCGTCGCCCAGACTGGAGTGCAGTGGCTGCTCCCAGCCACCGCAGCCTCGACCCACTGGGCTCTGGCGATCCTTCCACCTCAGCCTTCCAAGTAGCCGGAATTACAGGCTACAGCCGGAATTACAGTGTGCTACCACGCCCGGCTGATTTTTGATTTATTGTAGAGATGAGGTCTCGCTGCCCAGGCGGGTCTCGAACCCACGGGCTCAGGCAATCCACTCACCTCAGCCTCCCAAAGGCACGGGATTACAGGTTGAGCCACCAAGCCCGGCTGGCCCATCGAATTCTAAGGAGTAAAGGCCTAGACTGGCACCCGAGTGTCTGTGACCAGGCTTTCATGGTGGGCAGTGGGATCTGAGATCCAGGTGAAAGTCGAGTTTGGGCCTGAGCCCCAGTAATCGAGTGGTGCTGCACTCAGGCTCTGAGGGTAGGTGTCTTTTCTCCCCATTCCCTGGCCCCCGCAGGAGGAAGAGGACCTCCCTTACGAGGAGGAAATCATGCGGAACCAGTTCTCTGTCAAATGCTGGCTTCGCTACATTGAGTTCAAGCAGGGTGCCCCGAAGCCCAGGCTCAATCAACTGTATGAGCGGGCGCTCAAGCTTCTACCCTGCAGGTAGGAATGGGTCCAGCTACCCTGTCCACCAATTCCCACCCCACCTGGTCCAGTTGTTACAAAACTGGTACGTAGGTCCCAGGTGACTGCTGTGTGTTCCGTCATTGAATGCACACATCCCTTGACGAGTCAACACACCTTCCCTGATATCCCACTCCTTCCCTCATTGCTGAGACCCGTTGCCCCTCCTCAAGCCCTCTCTTCCCACAATTGCCTCCTAGGGCAGGGCATTGTTTTTCTGGAGGCCCATAAAGTGACCTATCAGTGTTTATTCTCTTCTATTCCCTAGCTACAAACTCTGGTACCGCTACCTGAAGGCGCGTCGCGCACAGGTAAAGCATCGCTGTGTGACCGACCCGGCCTATGAAGATGTCAACAACTGCCACGAGAGGGCCTTTGTGTTCATGCACAAGGTTGGGGCTGGCCAAGGAGATGACAGGGGGGTGGGGAATCAGTCCATGGGGTGGGCAAAGTGGGGGGGTCTGGGCTCAGCACGGCAGGGATACGGGTTGGAGTCCTGCTGCCTCTGGGGTGGACCCTGTCCTGCAGTTGGGGGTTCTGGGTTCTGCAGCACTTACATGTGGAGACTCCAGGTGTGGCTCAGCCATAGGACATCTGGTGTCTGTAGCCAGGCCATGGCGCCTGCAGCTCAGACCTGGCTGCCTCTCCCCACGTGCTCAGATGCCCCGTCTGTGGCTAGATTATTGCCAATTCCTGATGGACCAGGGGCGTGTCACACACACCCGCCGCACCTTCGACCGTGCACTCCGGGCACTGCCCATCACGCAGCACTCTCGCATTTGGCCCCTGTACCTGCGTTTCCTGCGCTCATACCCACTGCCCGAGACAGCCGTGCGAGGCTACCGGCGCTTCCTCAAGGTAAGCCCAGCAGGTGGGCTGGCTCCCCAGGTTAGAGGTTCCAGAAACTGCCTCACTGGGGTACTGGCCTCATGCGGGATGTCACCCGACAGATGGGATAGGGAGGAGGATCCTGGAAGTGACACACAGGGGTTGTTTGTGATTTATTTCTGTTTGTTTTTGAATCAGGGTCTCACTCTGTTGCCCAGGATGGAGTGCAGTGGCATGATCACGGCTCATGGCAGCCTTGACCTTCTGGGCTCAGGTGATCCTTCTGCCTCAGCCTCCGGAGTAGCTGGGACTACAGGCACTACCACACCCAGCTAATACTTTTTTTCTTTTTTTTGTAGAGACAAGGTCTTGCTATGTTGCCCAGGCTGGTCTCAAACTCCTGGGCTCAAGCGATCCTCCTGCCTTGGCCTCCCAAAGTGCTAGAATTGCAGGCGAGTGACACCGTATCTGGCCCATTTCTTATTTCCTAGTAGTTTCTAGCACCTGATTCATATTAGGCATAGCAATGCATGCTGGGGACAGTTGAATAAGATGGCCTCTGCCTGAGTGGAGCTTTTAGTCTAAGTGGATAGATAGTGCACACGAGCTGACTGTAAAAAACAAGGTAAGCCGGGCTTGGTGGCTCAGCCTGTAATCCCGCGCCTTTGGGAGGCTGAGGTGA